CTCTGCAAGACAGACTTTTCAGGATAGGAGATGGACTAAAAATGAACTCCCAAAACTTACTGCAACATGGAGCTACGGAGAAAATGTAGAACTTGGAAAAATTGGGAAAACAGCTTGGTGAAAAGCGCTTACAGTTTAAAAGCAAATAGAAAGTCCAATTTTTTTATTTCTTTTCTTTATATTTTTTTTGCAGCTCATTTTTGTCAGTCTCTGCAAGACAGACTTTTCAGGATAGGAGATGGACTAAAAATGCACTCCCAAAACTTACTGCAACATGGAGCTAAGGAGAAAAATGTAGAACTTGAAAAATTGGAAAAACATCTTAGTGAAAAGCGTTTACAGTTTAAAAGCAAATAGAAAGTCCTATTTTTTAATTTCTTTTCTTCATATTTTTTTTGCAGATTTGCACATGTACAAGGTTTAAAATGCTCATGAATTATTTTAAAAAAATATTGATGTTTTGAGCAGCTGCATTCCTCTAGGTCGAAGATGAAAAAATGGGATTTACAATAAAAAGTAATTTACAAAATTATTTTGACTTGAGTTTATTTATTAATGAGTAACGTATCTTTTGAGTGAATGTGCAAATGTTTAATGTTAACCGGTTTTACCATGTTATTACAACATTTAACCACTTTTTAGTAATTTAAAAATTCTTTCAAATTTAAATATTGTACAAGAACTACAGCAAAAATCAGTTTGATGCATATTTTATCAATATTTTAGAAATTGAATTTTATTTATCACCAGTACTGACTTCAATGGATTTCATTAAATTCCTTTGAACACAACTGCTCAAAACGGTCTAAATTTATGAAACCTACACATTCAAAACATTATTACTCTGAAATTTTTAATGTAAATGTTAAGTGTAAGTGAAATGTTAAGTACTGTAAGGTCTTTCATGACACTACATATTCTGGGGTGTGAATTTGATGGGTGCTTGATATAAAATAAATGGTTTAAACTTTAAAAAGTCCTTGAAAGTCCTTGAATCTGGTGTTCATGAAAGAGTGGGAACCCTGTAAATTATAATAATTCACAATATGACAGTTTTTACTGTATTTTTTTATCAAATAAATATAGCCTTTGCGAGCATAAGAGAATTTTCAAACATATTTAAAAAATCTTTATTATTCCAAACTTTTGACCGGTACTGTATGTATTTTTAAAAAGGGGGCAAAATGTTCCATGCAATGACGTTATTAGCAGATGACTTTATTAAGGTTTATTTTTGACCTTCTATATTTAGCTAGTGGCCTTTAATAAGCTAAATGATGCTGCTTGGGCTGATTGCCATTACATGTACTTGATATTAGTGGCATCCAAACATGTAGAGCGTCATGACCAAAGAGACGCTGTACTTTAATTAATTGGGCCTTCCTGCCCTCAATATGATTCAGTGGAGGCTATTTTTAGTGGTTGCAAGGCAATCAGAATTACTCCAAGAGGTTGTGACCCACCTTGGGATTTGTTAGTTTTCACTGTGTTCCCAAATGACTGGCAGAGATCTGTGTGTCGAGGTGGAAAATGATCTATGCACTTCAAGTGCAATATCATTACGTCTCTGACACCCTTATAATTATCAGTCAATTTTTGGCTGAAACAAAATCCTGTTATGAATTTTCCATTTTAAAAAAAAAAAAAAAACTTAGTTTGTGCTAAGTTATATTCATTACACACTAATGGTCTCCAGTATCCGCTTTTGACATTTGTCAAATGAACAGGTGGAAATTATTTGGTCTTGTCTGTATATTTTTACACTGACAGAATCTGATGATTAAAAGGGAAGCGGTTAATTTTGTACCATGTGTTTGCATTGGTTTCATCTGCTCTTTTCTTTCAGGTTCAAAGAGATCTGAGCCGCCCGTCGAACAAGAGAATATCACACCTGTGACGGAAAATTACCTGCAGCATAACGACAAAAAGGGACCATGGGTTGATCCAACACACCAAGCCTTTTTATGCCCAAGGGTTATTTTATATGAAAATTGTAACATGAGACTTTCATCCTTTTATACTGATAATGGAACAAAGCTCAGCTGCTGCAGTGAAGGAGGAGGAGAGTTACACACACCCTCGTCTATGCGTGGCCTGAGTGGGACAAACACCAGAGGATCATCATTTTAATACCGGATGTTTTTAGTGACTGAAGCTCAATGCAAATGTACCTTTTTTCTAGCATTAAAATATGCCATCAGTGCTTTGTCCTTTAATCTGTGCGGTGTCTTGCGTGATCATTCATACGTTTCCTGTTTGTTATTGGCATGGCTAGCTGTGAATCTTACCTGCAATAGTGGTTAAACAGCACCTGAATATGTATTTCAATAGATATTGAGGTCATATCCATGTGAATATACACTTAATCTCTCTCAACTTCATTAAAATACTGAGTAGCTCCAAGCATCCCAAGAGAACCGCTTGGTTTTATTTTCTCAGGGTTCGTATGAATGGAAGCACGTTACTGGTAGCTGGTGTTCTAGCTTTAGGGTATACAGGTGCTTCTCAATAAATTAGAATGTTGTGGAAAAGTTCATTTAGCACCAAAAGTTGGTTAAATGACCATGGTGTTGGTGTGCTTGACTGGCCAGCAAACTCACCAGACCTGAACCCCATAGAGAATCTATGGGGTATTGTCAAGAGGAAAATGAGAAACAAGAGACCAAAAAATGCAGATGAGCTGAAGGCCACTGTCAAAGAAACCTGGGCTTCCATACCACCTCAGCAGTGCCACAAACTGATCACCTCCATGCCACGCCGAATTGAGGCAGTAATTAAAGCAAAAGGAGCCCCTACCAAGTATTGAGTACATGTACAGTAAATGAGCATACTTTCCAGAAGGCCAACAATTCACTAAAAATGTTTTTTTTATTGGTCTTATGAAGTATTCTAATTTGTTGAGATAGTGAATTGGTGGGTTTTTGTTAAATGTGAGCCAAAATCATCACAATTAAAAGAACCAAAGACTTAAACTACTTCAGTCTGTGTGCATTGAATTTATTTAATACACAAGTTTCACAATTTGAGTTGAATTACTGAAATGAACTTTTCCATGACATTCTAATTTATTGAGATGCACCTGTAGATATTATCAGCTTCTGTCAAAATGAGAATGTGCGTGAAAGGCAAACAGTCATCTGCAGAATAATGCTCTGTGATAAATCATTTCTGGAGACTTTAGTGATGCTTGAACACACAGCTCCTTTCCATTAATTTAAAGCGGTGTTATTAGTCATAATTGTTTTTTAAAAATATTCAGTTATGATTAAAATTGTTACTTTTAATTTTTTCATTATAAAAAAGGTCATGTCCAGGTCATGGTGTCATATTATGTGGGGCAAGTTGTTACAATACATCCAGATATGAAACACTGAAAAACAATTCATTAAACAGTAAAAAATGTACAACATATAAAACTATAACAATGTTTTGGACAACAGAAATTGTAATCAATTGTGTAATTAATGGTTTATTAAAGAATTGTAACCGTATACATTTTAACATTTTCAGTTTGCCCTGACCTGACATTTATGAAAATTATCCTCTTTGATTAAAATCTACACTACCATTCAAAATTTGTGCTCCGTAAGCTTTTTTTTTGTTGTTGTTGTTGTTTTGAAAGAAATGAAATGTATTTTAGCAAGGACACATTAAATTAATTCAACATGACAGTAAGGTCACATAATGTTACAAAATATTTCTATTTCAAATAAATGCTGTTCTTTTAAACTTTCTTTTCATCAAAGAATCCTGAAAAATATGAAGCAGCACAAATGAATGTTACTTGAGCAGCAAATCAGCATATTAGAATGATTTCTGAAGGATCGTGTGACTGAAGACTGGAGTAATGATGCGGAAAATTCAGCTTTGCCAGGAATGAATTATATTCTAAAATATATTAAAATAGAAAAGTTATTTTAATTTGTAATAATATTTCATAATATTCCTGTCTTTACTGTATTTTATAAATAATTGCAGGCTTAATGAGCAAGAGACTTCTTTCAAAAAATCTTACTGTCCCCAAATGGTAGTGTACCTTTATTATTATTTAATTTGAAGGCAGAATTCACAAAAATAGTTGTATTATACAGTTGTAACTTTTTGAAGCAGAACCTGACATACAAAATGCTACCAGATCATTTTTACTAAGACTTTTACTAAAATACAACTCTTGCCTCAGTTTTACCTTTTTAAATTTCTTATGATTAGTGTACAAAAAAAGGCTGATCTGATGTAGTCTGAGTTAATGAAAATGTGAAATTATCCCATGCTCCCCTAATAGTGTCCAGATCAAAGATTGATATTGTGCAGTCAAACATGCACATCATACAACTTGTACTTTCAGTCACAGTATGTATATTAAATATTCCCAAGCTATTTAATATTACAGTATATACTGTAATATAGCAAATCATCCTCGATATATAATGCATGTGTGTGTGTGTATACATACATGCATACATATAATTCTAAATAAAATTCTAATAATTGATGAAGCATAAGAAAAATTATTAACAGGTTAACAACATAAGCATTCTTTATTGAATATGTTTGGGTAGATATTGCATGTGTCATTAAAAGGAACAGTGTTGTGATGGATACGTGTGTCGCCTCCGAGCAGTAGATGACATGGAGTACATAGTCAGCTCTCTGCTCTAACAGTTCCTTGGCAACGCTGGAGAGCAGGGGAGTGAGTGATAGCCTACTTAAAGAGCAGAGCTGTGACTCCTGCTGAAGCCACCGCATCCATCAGCATCTCTGAGTGAGCGGCTGCACCAGACTGAATGGCACATGCTGAGGTGAGGCAACAGTTTTCATTTATGTACTGTCAATTATCATTCAACAAATGCCTGTTTTAGTGCCATGAATCTACTTTATATCCTATGAAATCAGCAGTTGCATGTTTCTTGTGTGGGAGGAAAAATTATTTTTTTTACATTTGTTTTAAAGTGTTCTTTGCTGGTCCAGAGAAGGAGGTAGCCATAGATTGTGTATCTACTGCCAAAGCATCATCAATATCAGAGGTCATCATGGGGTCGAGTTCGTCATCTTATGCCCCTAAAACTATTTATCTGGATGTGGATGGAAAAGTGCAAAGGGTGAGTCTTTAAGATTTCAAACTTAAAAGCTGTATGTTTAAGATCCCATTAAAATTAGATGCATTTGCTAATTTATGATTAGATATGTAAGGTATTCAACCAAACATTCAATTAACCTATTTGGCAGCACACATACGTATTCATGTAATGGACTGATGGGTGTTTAGTACATAAATGATGCTAGAGCTTCTCTGAACTAACTTCAGCTTTTTGGAATCATTTTTTTTTTTTTTACAGTAATTTCTAATAGACTGGTGTGGTAATAGCTTCAAGAGTAACCACAGGAGTAGTTCATCACATTATCTATGAATAGGATTTACCAAAGTTTGACAAACAGAAATTGTCACTGCACAAACTGTCTTACTTTTGAACACTATTTTTATTGTTTTATCTTTTAAAAATTGATTTTATTTTATTTTTTGTCATTTCTGGTTGAAAGTATGCTTGTTCTGGCTTTCTTTAAGATAAATGCCATTGGTTTGATATTTTTATATCTAATACTTTAAGTTTAAAATTCCCAAATACTTTTTTCAAGGGTTCGAAGTCGGTAGGATTTGTGCTGTTTGAACATAAGACGTCACTTACCACAGCTGCATTTATTTGATACAATAAAAATATTATGAAATGTTGTTTATTTATTTATTTTTGCTAGCTTGCTATTTTAATATACTTTAAAATGTAGTTTATTCCTGTGATGAACTTACTCTAGTCTTCAGTGTCACATGATCCTTCAGAAATCTGATTTGCTGCTCAAGAAACATTTCGTATTATTATGAAAATAATATTTTTCTGAGCCTGTGATACAGTTTTCAGGATTATTTGAAGAATAAAACGTTCAAAAGAACAGCGTTTATTTGAAATTGAAATAGTTTGTCTTTTAATTGTCTTTACTGTCACTTTTGATCAATTGAATGTATCCTTGATGAATAAAAGTAGGCCTATTATTTTCTTTACAATAAATCTTAATGACTCCAAATGTTTGAACAGTAGTGTAACTACTTGTATAATAGAGACAACATTTTATTAATATTATTATACTTAAAGACTGTAGTTATTTAATGTGTTTTTAACACAGGCACCCTTTTTAGGATAACTACTTGTGTTAAAAATATGTTGAGGGTCATTGTGAGTGACAGGTGCCTTTGACACAAACAAGCACCTGTGACACCTGCCAAGGGCAAATTTAGCCCCACTCACTAGAGCCACGGTATTATAGTGGCGTATTCAGCACCTCTAGTTATTATGTAGTATTTATGATCTCTTATGTTTTTAGGTGATTTTCAGTCGTCACTGTAGCCCATGTGATATTAAGGAGCTTCTCTGCTCATCATCCAATATTGCCAGGTCAGTCTCATAAATGAAGTGTTTAGTCCAGATTATTGTCCCAAATGTGTCTTGAATTTGTTGTGTCTCTCCAGAAACACAGCTATACTTCTGATTGACTCAGAAGGAGCACTGGTATCTATTGACCCCAGCATGCCTGCAAACACTCCAAAGTAAGAATTCAACATAGTAAAAATAATGCAACTTCTTGTTATTATTATATTATTGTAATTTAATGAATAATTCAGAAGCAGTCATTGTTTTACATTCTTTCTTTCTTCGTTTCAAGCAACTTATATAAGGTTATGCCTCATTCCACAAACCAAGGAGGAGGTATGAAAAAAGATTTACTCATTAAATTGTAGATAATTAGCCAAATGCAATGTGTTAAAGGTGACATATCATGAAAATCTGACATTTCCAGGTTTTAAGTGCTATAATCAGGTCCCTGGTGCATCTACCAACCAAGGAAACGTGAAAAAGATTAACCCAGTAACTTTGTTTTGGCAAACCATTTTCTGCAAGCGTCTGAGAAAACGAGCGCGTCTGATTTCGCTCCCTTGGTGACGTGGCAAAGGGATCTCATTATAATATTACCGCCCCTTAATCTGTACGTTTCCACCCACGGCACCTTCATTTGATTTGGCAAGCGACACCGGTGTACCAGCTCTACTGCCATGGTGAAAGTTTGAGCAAAACATGCTAACTGTTCTGTCTTTGGCTGCACAGACGAGCACAGAACACTATTTAGAGTCCCAGCTTCAGAGGAGACAAGAGAGCAGTGGATTTATTGATTTATTTAAGTATATTGCTGCTGCCAAACAGATCTAAAATAAACATGCTATTTATTTCCCAGCAGTTTACCTTCAAAGTCATAACCGACTGTTTTTGTAACTCGTGTGTGTTTTTAGCATAAACGTGTGTGTGAATGAAAACTTAGTTTAGTACTCGCATGCTGGGTCTGATCTGTAATGGCGCAGCTCTATTCTGGAAAAGGGGGCGGGGAGCAGCAGCTCATTTGCATTTAAAGAAACAGACCCGAAAAAACAGTGCGTTTCTGCTTCCACTCAAAATAGACATTTTCAAAATGTTATAATAAATGATCTGTGGAGTATTTTGAGCTGAAACTTCACAGACACATTCTCGGGACACCAGAGACTTATATTACATATTGTAAAAAGGGGCATAATATGTCTCCTTTAAGTAAAACTAGATTAGAAATAAGGCAAATGACAGTAACATAAACAACTTTGTATTCCTCTCAAAAGAGAAGGAAGACATGTTCCAGAACGTCCTGTCACAAGTGGCAGAGCAGTTCAGCAGGTGAGCCGTGTCATGTCAAAATGAGTCTGTATTTATTGTAAAGTAAATGTTATGATTCAGATCAGTGTGTTACAGAATGTGTGCATGGTAATGAATGTAATATTTGCTTCAGGGCTTTTAGGATCAATGAGCTGAAGACTGAAGTGACCAACCGACTGGCCATGCTGGAGAAGAGAGTGGAGCGTGAGTGATGCTCTGAGCAGAATGCATGTCAGAACTCACACCTGATGTTGTGAGCTAAAAGTCTTTGTCTCATTACAGTGGAGGGACTTAAAGTGGTGGAAATTGAGAAGTGTAAAAATGATCTGAAGAAATTAAGGGATGAAATGACCTCTAGAGGAGGAGTGAGGTAAGAACAGCTGTTTTATTTTATTTTATTTTATTTTATATATTTTTTTATTTCATTAGGCGTCTATGCACCTTTGCTTTTTAATTGGTTGTTTATCTCTTGCTAACAGAATGAACTGCAATTGCAAATATAACTTTACTGATGATGGGAAGAAACTGTCTCCCAGGCGAGATGTCCCAAGCTACCCAAAGGTAAAATGAAAAAAATAAATAAATACATTTTTGAGGGGTTACATCAGGGCTGTCCAAACTCGGTCCTGGAGGGCTGCAGAGTTTAGCTCCAACTTGCCTCAACACACCTGACTGGAAGTTTCTATGCCTAGTAAGAGCTTGATTAGCTGGTTCAGATGTGTTTAATTAGGGTTGGAGCTAAACTCTGCAGGACACCGGCCCTCCAGGACCGAGTTTGGACAGCCCTGGGTTACATACTGCAACCAAATAAAATCATCGCAGTGCTGTAATCATATGTAATTCTGTGTGTTGTCACTCTGTTTTGTGTTTTTGTAGTACACACTTTCTCAGGAAACTATAGAGGCTCTGAAAAAGCCCACCTTTGATGTATGGCATTGGGAACACAATGAGGTTTGTCGTCTTTTTTGTGTCAAGATATCTTGAGACATGCATGTTTTTATTTTTGTACAAGTTCCCACTAACAGGAATTTTATTTTTGCAGTTTTATTGCTCTTTCATGGCTTAAGAGACTTAATGGAGTTCTTAGTTGTGTTTCACTGAAGTATCAGTTTTTCTTTTTAAAAAAAATCAACCAAAATTGGACAGATAATTAAACAAACATTTAATCACACTTAAGGAAACGTAATGGCATGTTAATTGCAATCCATCAATCAATCAATAAATGTATTATATTTCAAATTTATATCAAATGCTTTTTGACCCACTTAAATAGGACTTAAGTACAGCTTTATATGTAATTTGATAATTATGTCTATTGTCTTTGAAATATGGTTAAAGTGTAGTGCCAACAAGCATTTATAGTAAACTAAAATATACTTTAATGTAATTTCTATTGAAATTTGTCATATATTTGTAATTACACATTTGTAATGATGAGGTCGCAATTCAGTACATTAAAACTATATTAAGTTTAAATGTAATATCAAATAACACACTACAACTAAAATTATGATCAAGTACTTTACATGTACACATAAAATAAGTGTACTTCTTTAAAGCACAAAAAAGATTATTAAAACATTCATATTATCTGCAAGAACATTTTTTAAATATATATTTTTAAGATTTGAAGTAGGCCTACTCTACAAGTGCACATTCAGTACAATAAAGCACACTTCACCAAGGTGTTTTCTAGAAATTGTGATATGAATTAGATCTCATGTGTAATTTCTCTTTGTAATAAAAATGAAGGGCCCTATCATATACCCGGCGCAATGCGGCGCCAGGCGCGACGCAAGTGTTTTTTGCTAGTTTCAGCCCGACGCAGTTATCATTCACGTCCTGCGCCACGTTGTTTAAATGGCAAATGCATTTGCGTCCATTTGTGCGCCCATGGTCTGAAAACGAGGTGTGTTCAGGCGCATTGTCGGCACGTTGCTATTTTGAGGCAACTGAAATAGACTGTGCCTTTGACCAACTGAAACCCAGGGCCCTATTTTAACGATCTAAGCACATGGTCTAATGCGCTTAGGGCGTGTCCGAATCCACTTTTGCTAGTTTAAGGCCGGGAAAAAATGGCACTAGGGCCCTTAGACCATGCGCTTAGATTATTAAATATGGCCCATAGTGTGTGGTTATCAGCATTAGTTGTTTTATCTGACAAACAGGTCATGTGGTGAATTGTGTTTGTTAATTAAATTAATGCTGTATACAGATGCTTAGCTGTCTGGAGTATATGTATCATGACCTTGGACTGGTTAAGGAGTTTAACATTAACCCCATAACTCTCAAAAGATGGCTGGTAAGATGAGCTTTCCTGCATATTTGTGACCCTGGACCACAAAACCAGTCATAAGTGTACATTTTTTTAAATTGAAATTTATACATCATCTGAAAGCTGAATAAAGAAGCTTTCCTTTGATGTTTGGTTTGTTAGGATAGGACAATATTTGGCCGAGATACAACTATTTGAAAATCTGGAATCTGAGGGTGCAAAAAAATCAAAATACTGAGAAAATCGTCTTTAAAGTTGTCCAAATGAAGTTCTTAGCAATGCATATTACTAATCAAAAATTAAGTTTTTATATATTTACGGTAGGAAATGTACAAAATATCTTCATGGAACATGATCTTTACTTAATATCCTAATGATTTTTGGCATAAAAGAAAAATCGATCATTTTGACCCATACAATGTTTTTTTGGCTATTGCTAAAAATATACCCCAGCGACTTAAGACTGGTTTTGTGCTCCAGGGTCACATTTAATTTCTGAATTAACTGGAGTACTAGGCTTTAAAACTCACCTGTTGTGTCTTTTCTAAATAAAGCTTGCGATTCAAGAAAACTACCGCGACAACCCTTTCCACAACTTCCGCCACTGCTTTTGTGTGAGCCAGATGATGTATGGAATGATCCATCTGTGTAACCTTCAGGTGAGGTCATGGCCACAAGTGTATCATGTCCTTCAGAGAGTGTGTCAGGTCAACATGCTACTTGCTTTTGTTTCCTAGGAGAGGCTTACTATGACAGACATGTGTATTTTGATGACTGCAGCCGCGTGTCATGACCTGGACCACCCGGGATACAACAACACGTACGTACTGTATATATTACTGACATATCCACCCTCTGAGAGAACAATGCCACTGACAACACTGTCTGCGTTATTAGTTTGCCACTGACTGACTAATTGAATGTGCGTGGGCAGTTATGATGTACAATGTCATTTATACAGTAGGAATTGATAAAGGTTTTCCTCTGTAATCAGGTTTCAGATTAATGCTCGCACTGAGCTGGCCGTGCGCTATAATGATATCTCTCCTCTGGAGAACCATCACTGTGCTGTGGCCTTCCAGATCCTCTCTATGCCTGAGTGCAACATATTTGCCAATGTGGAGCCTGACTCCTTCAAACAGATACGACAGGTACCTCCGATCCACCATACATACACTTCATATTGCACGTGCAGTTTCTACACAGAGGAACACTGTATTGCTCAGAGATTCAAAAGTTTGTGATTGGTCTCTTATGCTCACCAAGGTTGCATTTATTTGATCCAAAATACAGTAAAACTGTAATAGTGTAAAATATTATTACAATATATATTGAGTTTCATTATTTTAAGATGTAATTTATTCCTGTGATGGCAAAGCTGAATTTTCAGCAGTCATTACTCCAGTCTCCACCGTCACATGATTTTCCTTCAGAAATCACTCTAATATGCTGATTTGCTGCTCTGATGAATAGAAAGTTCAAAAGAACTGCATTTATTTAACATAGTAAAAGTCTTTACCGTCACTTTTGATCAATTAAATGCATCCCTGCCGAACAAAAGTATTTTAAAAAATCTTTCTGACCCCAAACTTTTGAGTGGTTAGTCTATGTTAAACAAATATACAAATGGAGCAATTGCTGGCATTCTATAGAATGTAACTTCTGTGCATTATAGTTAAAAATCTAAACAATCCTGTATGCATTTTTTGTATCTGTTGTAGGCGATCATTACTCTTATTCTGGCGACAGATATGGCTAGACATGGAGAGATACTGGACTCCTTCAAACAGAAAGTGGACAACTTTGACTTTACCAATGAGGAGCATGTTAAATGCGTATGTGTTTCCTGATATTATGATTTAAATTGCATTCTAAAAACGTGTTGGTTCTGTACTTCATACGCAATGCTGTGTCTTTACAGCTGAAGATGGTGTTGATCAAGTGTTGTGACATCTCCAATGAGGTCAGACCCACTGAGGTGGCAGAGCCGTGGGTGGACTGTCTCCTGGAGGAGTACTTCATGCAGGTACCGCAATACAAGCAGTTTCATGAAAGCACTTTGAAAATGAATGTGGTAAAAAGCTTATTTTGCTTCTATTATTTCATTATATGCTTACACTACCGTTCAAAAGTTTGGGGTCAGTATGCTTTTTTGTTTTTCTTTTCATCAGCATGGACACCCTAAATATTGAATTTCTTTCAACTTTCTGATTATTTCCAACAGAACTGGAAGATTTTGATTTGATCAGACTTTGGGACCCCACATGTTGTAGCTTGCTTTTTGGTTTGTTTTGGCAGAGTGACAGAGAAAAGTCAGAAGGTCTTCCTGTGGCTCCATTTATGGATCGTGACAAAGTCACCAAACCAACAGCACAAATTGGCTTCATTAAATTCGTCCTCATCCCAATGTTTGAGACCGTCATGAAGGTTTGTACACACGTTATAGAGACTGACATGTGAACTGGAGCTCTGAACTGAAGTTGCATTACATAGAGACCCTGTGTCTGTGTTCAGCTCTTTCCACAGATTGAGGAGATCATGGTTCAGCCTTTGAGGGACTCCCGTGATCACTATGAAGAGCTCAAGCAGATAGATGATGCCATGTCAGAGGTTACAAGACCGTGCATGTAGAGGAAGTCCTAAAGCTTTACAAATGGCCTTGTGTCCAAAACACAAATCAGAAGAACTACACTCATAAAAATAAAAGTTCCAAAAGGGGGGTTTTGAAGTGATTCCATAGAACAGGGCTGTCCAAACTCGGTCCTGGAGGGCCGGTGTCCTGCAGAGTTTAGCTCCAACCATAATTAAACACACCTGAACCAGCTAATCAAGCTCTTACTAGGCGTAGAAACTTCCAGTCAGGTGTGTTGAGGCAAGTTGGAGCTAAACTCTGCAGGACACCGGCCCTCCAGGACCGAGTTTGGACAGCCCTGCCATAGAAGAACCATTCTGGGTTCCCTAAAGAACCTTTCAGTGAACAGATCTTAAAAGAACCATTTTTGTTCTTGGTGTGAAGAACAAAAAAACTTTTTTGAACCTTTTGTTCAATGGAAAGGTTCCATGGATGTTAAAGGTTCTTCATAAAACCATAGACCTTTATTTTTGAGGGTGTACGATACTTTATTATTTTGCCTTTGCATTATGGTGTGCTCTCTTTTCAGGCACAGAAGAAGAAAACAGAGAGCATGTCTTTAGGTGGAAAAAAGAAATAGGCAACCTGCTTCTTTTATGGTATGGAGGAACAATAACCGGTCTCGTCGTTTATCAAAACAGCTAGAAGACTGTCATTCTTACTTCAGATTCTTCAGATTTGAGCCTGTCTCTTCTGACCTTTGCATGAAAACTTCATTCATATCAAGAGTTTTTGAATGACAGATGAAAAGGAAAATTCTGTCATCGTTTACTTATCATTTACCCTCATGTTGTTCCAAACCTGTAGGACTTTGTTTTAAAGTCTGTGGAACAAAGAACAAAAGAGTGTTTCAACTGTTTTTGTCAATGCAGTGAAACAGACTGTCATTGTATGGACAAAAAAAAAACAAGACTGTTTTGACTCACTGTCCCATTCTCTTCCTCTAGGGTTCTCAGGCTGATCCAGCTCCCAGTTTCCTGAAAACTGAGGTTTTGAACTGTTTGGGCTCTCCAAGCATCCAGTTTCCGAAGGCGAGTGTTGGACCCCCTTCTGTGTGTGGAAACATCAAGAATGTCCAGAAAAGGCAGTCATCAGTAGTAAAAAGGCGGTCAAAATGACTGATTCTGTTGATTTTGCTGGTCTAATTATTCTCCACAGATATGTTTGCACTATTGAAATGAAGTGCTTGGCCCTCAGATATTGTTTTATTGTCACAGGCTACAATAAAATAAACATGAGCAGTCAAGATTTATAACTTTATCAGATAATGGCATTATATGACTACTCAGATTGATTTATACTTTGGTACGTATTGTTTTGAGTGTTTGCAGGAACTGATTTCACCAAAGCAGCTATTAATAAAACGTACTTAGTAATACTCAGGAAAACATGTTAACCATTGTTCCAACAGAAAACCTTACAAATGTACAAAAATCAATAAAATATACATTCATCTTGAAACGTGTCAAAATTGGTGTTGTGTTTATATTTTTGATAGGAATGTACAAATTCACAGCTTTTACCTGAGGAAGCTAAAAAGAAAGTTATATTAATTTCTACATGAGCATCTTTAAAAGGAAATTAATCCCTGAAAAAAAAAATTTGAGGCATATTTCAAGAAAGGCATTTGGTAAGGGGATGTGTCTGAGAAACCTGTTTAAAGGTACAGGTGTTTTCGAGGGCTGCAGGTGCAAGTGACACGTCTGTTGCTCTCTGTCCTCACTGCATCTGGATGTGACAGTTATTACACAGCTGTCATTTACAGGATTATGGCTTTAATACTTACATGTTTTGTTATTGGCCAGCAGAGGAGACAATGAAACACTTTTCTCACATACTGTATTCATGATGATGTTTACCTTGAATAACATACAAGAAAGATGTAAATATGTAAGACGTGTTAAAGTTTGTGAGATCACACCATTCTCTTATTTGGGGGAAGAAATTGTAAATTAGAAAATCACCAGAAATATCTAATCCAAACATCAATTAAGACATAAATATACTGTTGGACTGGACTGCAATGAAAAATAACTAATTTTCTTTCTTCATCCGTCTGACATTAGGTCAGTTTCTTTTTTTATTCATTTTCTTTTCTTCATTCATTCATTTTCTGATGTAATGTGCAAAATAACAGTTCAGGGATATACAGTAGTAAATATTATATTTGCATTACCTAATAGGTCATATTTGGAGCCATGAACGTTCTTGGCTACAAAAATCTATCAAACATTTCGACTGGGAACTTGTTGTTTATGGACACTGATTTGACAGGAATAAACTTTTAAAAAAATATGAAATACTATAGTAGTAAAAAAAAAAAAACTAACACAACCTATATGTGTTTAACGTGATATTTTTCAAACTAAATGGAAAAGGTAGCATACAGACAATTTAGCCATTATTAGCCAACAGAAATTCGAATTAATTGTATTAAATTACAATATATTTTTAACAAACATGGCAACATTTGACAAGCTCTATAAAATTAGTTTGACAACATTCTCCAATCTATTTATGAAAATCATCCTTACGCAATTTAACCTTTAGAGTCAAATATATTACAGTATTTATATTGCATTCCTTTGTTTATGCAAGAGCTATTGTGAAAATATAATATTGGAACATCTATTTTAAGAATAGACAGCATTTCTAGTGGATAACCTTCTAAGAACTACATTCTTTAGTTAGTGATTCATGCCATTAGTTTCAGACCACTTGTCTGAATCCCCTAGCAGCAGTTAAGGGCTCTGCTCATTTAAAATGACTCCGGAGAGTCTGGTGACAAATGAATTCATGAGGTTGGAGTGAAGGAGGGTAAAGATCTCCATAAACCTCGCAGTCAGTCTGCTGGGGTCACAGGTCAGAAGTGGCTCAGTGGGAGCAATTTACAAGACAGGCCATGTTTTTCACAGATTAAACTTTCATGATGTTATGTCATACATTTAGAGAGGTATGCTGGCTTTCTGCAAAACTGCAGAGAAACTTTAGTTACACTTTATTTTAAGGTGTATAGAGTAATGTTAATTAATTACAGTTTTATAAGGTTAGTTGCGCATAATTTACTGTTATTACTATTTTAAATACGGGTAACGTGTAACATTACTGTAAAATAAAGTGTTACCTAAGCTTTAAATACATGGGCATTATTTTATCTGTGATATGATGACATTATAAATTTTTTGTTACCTAAGCTTTAAATACATGGGCATTATTTTATCTGTGATATGATGACATTATACATTTTTTTCTCAAGTCTTATTTTAACCTGTTTTGCAACAGATTAATAATAATATGGTGTGCAGCTGTCCTATTACACGTTATTCTAGTGTACTGCACTGCATACCAATGTATGTTTAATGTGAGCCTACAAAAGTCTTAAGAAGATAAAAGGTTAAAGTCCAGAAGGTTAGAAGAGAGGGTCACCTGCCACTGCCCCCCAAATCTGACACGAGGCTCAGGCCTGTTTAATCAGACCTGAATTTTTTTCACAGAACAATTTTTTTTTTTATCCACTTATATATTTGCTCTTCTCCAATATAGAAATAAGTCTAAAAAACAAGATTTGTGCCAAATAATTTTTTAATTAGATTTTTTTTCATGTCCACTCTAATGGACACCAGCACAGAAGAAAAATAAAAATCCCCATATTTTAATCATACATAATAAGTAGATCACTTATATATTTGCTCTTCTCCAATATAGAAATAAGTCTAAAAAACAAGATTTGTGCCAAATAATTTTTTAATTAGATTTTTTTTCATGTCCACTCTAATGGACACCAGGACAGAAGAAAAATAAAAATCCCCATATTTTAATCATACATAATAAGTAGAGCTTGTGCACTATAGTTGAACTATAGTGTTCGGACTACATACTATAAGAATGAACAAAGAACACATACTATAAGAATGAACAATGCAGTAAAAATTTGAAAAAAATGTAAGATGATATGAAGTCTCAAAAAAACCTATTTGATCATTTTTGTTGGTTGAAGTGGGTGAATCTGAGTATATGTATAAATGTCTTTGTGTGTATGTGAATGTGTTTATGTGCACTTGCTGATTGTTTGGTCCCACTTTATATTAAGTGGCCCTAATACTTGTGTACTTACATAGTAACTAGATGTGTACATAGTATGTAACCACAGTGTAAGTACACATTGGTACATAGTATCTAGAGCTGTAATATTTCTGTAACTACACACATGTAACAACCCTCCGAATGGTTTGTGTAAGTACAAATGTGTGACAGGACATATATAACTACATTTTGTAACAACAATATGTATAAGAGTAATTGTTGTTACCAATGTCCTGTTACACATTTGTATTTACACATACCATTCAGTGGGTTGTTACATGTGTGTAGTTACACAAACATTACAGCTGTAGATACTATGTGTACTTACACTGTGGTTACATACTATACTAATTCATGAGGTGCTGCTGATATCTTTCAAGACCTGATGTCCATTGTGATGGACATTCTTTTTTTTTTTTTAAATCCTGTGATCTGCAACTCTGAAAGATCTTCAAAATAACTTTGAATATTATCATTTGACAGTCTTAATTTTATAATAGGTGCAAGGTGATGAGGCTACCATAAACATAAATCTGCATATAAAAGGTCAAATGAGGACTTCCTCCTCTTCTTGTCTAGTTGGTTAGTCATGTCTCTCTTTTGTGATGCCTGTAGCTCAATCAGATTAAGTTAGGAGTCATATCTTCATTGTGATTGGGTGATCAGGGACCAATCAGGGACCAGGCATTGCTCATATTATGAAACATCAAATTTTATGGGTTTAAACAAAAAATCATGTGATGTCCATTTCAATGGATGCAGGGTCTGAAGAGGTTCAACCGTAAACACTGGCAACACACTTTTTTGGTTAGAGTTCAAATTTAACTACAAACATTTTTCAAATATCTTGTGGTGTGTTCTGCAGAAGAAAGAAAATTATACAAGTTTTGGAACAGGGTGAGTAAATTATGTAAGAATTATCATTTTTGGGTGACAGCCCTTTTGTTTGAAAACTGTCAAATACTTTAGTCATAATTTTGAACAATACAACAATTCTTTGTCATTCGAAACCGGTAACAAACTTCTTGAGAATTGTTTTGCATGAACAGTGTACTGGAGATTTGTTTGTTTGTTTGTTTTAAATAATACTACTTGGTTTGATTTTTGTCTAATGTAGTGCAATGATATTCATATATTTTTAGGTGTGACTTAAGAGTCAACATTTTGGGGGACATTTTTACAATGTTTGTTACCTTGCACAGATGCTTTACTCAAATCTCAAATAGCACGTGGTGTACAGAAATGAAAAGTGTCTTATTGTTGATAGGTCTGTGAATGTGATGTATTTTTTAATGTTGATTTTAAAAGATAATGGAAAATAAAAAGTTATTTGAATAAATATAAGACGACAACAACAATTATTATTATTATGAAATAAATCAATTAAAATAATAATAATAATAATGAAATTTATTAAGGGTCAGGAAAAACAATAATTCAAAAATGTTTTTATTAAAATTTAAGCCAATGTCCATGTCCCACAGAGGGTTATAATTA